AAAACGTCTACCGTGTTTCTCATATAATAAGGCCGGGTCTTTTTTTTTTTTTTTTGAGCCCCGAAAAAATGGCTAGGCCGTCTTTTCGGAGGTGACTTAATTCCCCCCCCCCTTGCATCTTCGGGCAGGCGGGCGGGCAGCGATGGCTTGGATGTTGAACTCGGCATTGGTGGGGCACTTCGTATTGGGGTCAAGGCAGGCAGCACCATATCCGGGTGTGCAACAAAAGTACTTCCTAACGGCAAGCCCCCCCACCATTCCCCCCCATTTCACATGTTTTAATATAGGCCTTAATTTGGGGGGAGGGGCTTAATTTCATTTCATGCCTATAAAACATGCTGGGACTTCCTATTGGGGGAGGCCGTATTGTTGTAAAGGGTAGTATGTGTGAAAGAGAGAGGGAGGGAGGGAGGGAAGGAGAGAGGGAGGAGAGACAAACAATTTGCACTTAAGTCTTTGGTAAAACTCCTCCAGTTCTCATGAACTGTGGTTCCATAGAAAACACAGTGAAAACCACTAGCATATTTGACTATCAGGACAACTTACAACAATAAGAGAAATTCAGTGACATTTGGCCCTGGGGCCAAGAGAAAATAGTAGGAGCAAAGCATCGGGAATGAAAACCAGGAGTTTCCCACTTTGACATCAGGGCAACGCCTTGTTCTACCTGCCATCTGGGGCAATCACATTACTGCACTGAGTAATTATAAAGTAGATAGGCATTATGTACTTCTAAAAGCTATTTATTACCCTGATATAGATAATAGCTTATAGTTTCAGTGAGAAAATGTATTAATGCAGCATATTTCAAATGTGTCATACCTTAGAGACGTTGCCAGTTCCTGTAAACACAAATGTGAGAGGCCCAATAGATTTCGGCATCAATCCTAAGGAAATTTCATAGCCAGCATCCCGAACTGCTTGAACAGCCTGGCTGCTATTTCTATAATTATGGGCCATACCAATATGCTGAAACCAAAGACAAAACACTGTTGTCGGCAACACTTTCAGAAAGGTTAAAAATGCCTGTAATCCAACATTTGGCTGGCAGCTTGGTCTTACCATGAATGGAGTATGATGTCCCAAAGCAAGAAAACGTAATCCCATTCCATGTAAAATATTGATCATGCCTGGATGAGAATTGCAATTTATACAGTTATTAATCAAACGATGCAATCACGTTGCCAAAACAAAACAAAAATATCAATTGAAACACGATTGAAATAGCTTATATATCAAAAAATATATCATCCTCCTTTCCAAAACGGGTCAGTTCTGAAGCTTAGAAGTAAAAAATCCCTTCCTACCTTTATCAAATAAATTACTAGGAACGAGGGAACTCTAACCTACGGGCGTTTGAAGGATTCCCAACTGGAGAAAGTTGCTATCTGTTCTTATCTAAAAAATGAGCCAGACCAGATCCTACATATAAATGCAATCTCCTATCCAAATAAATAGTGGATAAGATAATCTATGACTTATCCTACTGATTAGATAATGTGGGCCATCCACCCCTGAGTGAGGCATTGCATTCTAGTTTTTGTTTTAATGGGAACAGGCAGGATGAGTATCGACCAGGCAGATTACAAATGAAACTCCCAAATGAAACTGAGCTATGCAAATAGCCTGACGTGTGATAAGGTAAGAGTGCAATATATTGCCCAAACTTAAAGACGTTCTAAATCAAGGGTGTCAAATTCAAGACCTGGGGGATGCATAGATCTGGCCCATGCGGCTGGCCTGGGAACAGCAAAGGACCAGCCTGAGTGCCTCTGCTAGTGAAAATGGAGCTCAAGGGGGCTGCGACAGCCTTCTGCAGCCCTCTGCCAGTGAAAACGGAGATCAGGAGGGCCACCCCTCCCTCCCCCGCATGCTCCATTTTCGCTGGCAGAGGGTTGCAGGAGGCCATCCAGGCTGAAAATGGGGCACGGAGGGCCACACATGCTGCCCCCTGGGCTCCATTTTCACTGGCAGAGGGCTATCCAAACAACCTAAAAACGAAACAAGAGGAGAAATGTTTCCCCCTTTTGCATTTGAGCATGCAAGAAGGGACAGGAAAGGAGAAAAGGGAAAGAGGAAAGACAAAGAGAAAGTAGGAAAGATGGGGAGAGAGCAAGGAAGGAAAAATAAGGAAAGAGGGGAAGGAAGAAGAAAGGAGAAGGAAGAGGGAAGGAAAAAGAAGAAGAGAAGAGAAGAGAAGAGAAGAGAAGAGAAGAGAAGAGAAGAGAAGAGAAGAGAAG